TGCCCCCCGGCCCCGCGCCCACTGCCCCCCGGCCCCGCGCCCATTGCCCCTCGGCCCCCGCGTCTGCCCGCCCCACGCCCCAGCCTTTACGCCTGCGCCCCCGACCCCGCGCCCGGTACTGACTCCCAGTCCCATAGCTCGGCCGCTACTCCGCCCTGGTTGTCGGCATCGCCTACGGAGCAAAGCGCTACAGTGAGTGAGCGGGCCGGACTGGGCCGGACTGCGCCGCGCGGGGATCGCGTTGGGGGCTGGGCGGGTCTGGGCCGTGCCCAGGGGAGGGGGCCAGGGCGTGTGGGCACAGCCATCAGGAGGTGGGCTCCTTTCACTCAGCATCTTCAGGGAGGGAGTTCATTGCCTCCCCATCTCCAGGTTACCTGAGGCCTCGGGCAGAGGAAGAGAGGAGGGTAGCCGCGGAGGAGAAGAAGAGGCAGGATGAGCTGAAACGGATCGAGAGGGAGCTGGCTGAAGGTACTGAGTATGCTGCTGCTCCAGGGCAGCCTGCTCCCAGGTGCTCAGCAACGGAGGGCTGCTGCCAAATGAGGGAGGGAACCTTGTCTCCGTCACATTGCTGCCCTCCTTGGGTGGCCTTGATTATAGGGGGCATCGCAGTTTGTTTTGACGGGAGTCCAGGCCACAGGCTGGCATCAGGCAGTGCCTGCCTCACCCCGATGGCCAACACCTGCTTCAGGGCCGGCTCCTTCCCCACCCCCTGGAGTTTCAGGTTGTCTGTGTCAGGGTTCTCTTGCAAGTAGGTTCTCATATGTTTAAAACTGAAACACTTAAGTGGTCCTTGTAGATGGCCTGAGAGCCTTATAAGTTGCAACACATTATTTCGTTTAACTTTTCAGCCCGGGATGACAGCATACTGAAGTGAGCGGTTCCAGCAGTTTGCATTGCGCCAGCTCCACAGGCAAATAAAGCTTTTGAGTTATATATGCTCTGACTCCCTCTCATTGCTGCTCCAGCTATCCATTTCCTAGACTTCAGCTCGGTAGTTGTGCTGCTTTCCTTAGAGGAGGGGACTTGGGGGAGGGGGAATTTCAAAGGAACTAAGGAGCATTACCCACCCTGGACTCAAAATATGGCTCACAAACTCAAGGTACAGTGTCTGCTCTGTTTTGTGTCCACTGAGGGGTCCAGAATGTAATGGAGCAGGTCCCGGTCTCCAGGTCCTGTTCAGTGGCTCTGAGCCCCTTGCTGAGTCAGCAATCCAGGTCCCTGGGCAGACAGGAAGCAGTGGGAGTGGGGTGGGCTTCGCTCCTGCCCTTACACTGGCATCCTCTGTTCCAGCTCACAACCTTTCCTGGATCTTGGGAAGGTGTTCAGGGTGGCCCTGAGGCTGACCACCTCCTGACACTGAACTGTTCAGGCAGGCTGTGGTGTGTGTGCCAAGCAGCTGCCCTCGCCAGGTTGGCCTCCTGGGCTCCTGGTAATGAGCTAACCAGTGCTGGCTTGGAGGTGTGGAGTGCAATAGGAGGGTGCTGCTACTTCACAGCTGTATGCCTTGAGCAAATGTTCTATGCGTAGACCTCAGTTTTTGTTTGCAAGTGAGTTTATTTGAAAATGTGAAGAGACACTGCACACAGACATTTCAAAGCAGCTTTTGGTTTCTGTGCATGAAAACAGTGCACCCCAGGCTGGTGTCCCACCTTCTGGGTTCTCAGTGGTTGTTGCGGGGTCCCCAGGAGTGTTGAGGCCCCTGGTCCCTGTCTTGTGCTCTTGTATCAGAAGTCTCAGATGTGGTGAGAGATAAAGCAGCTCTCCCTTCTGCAGGCAGGTGGCTGTGCTGGCTGTTGCCCCCTCACTACCCCCGGGGTAGTGTCCATTGTGAGGGTGGCAGATACCTTGGTGCTCATGTGTGCCAACTCTTGGGCAGGAGGATTGGGAGTTCAAAGCCAGCCTGAACTACTAATGAGACTTGTCTCAAAGGAAAAAGGATGTAATATTTTTCACTAGATAGTAATGTTTTTCAGAGGTGAATGGTGAAGTTCAGTGGGGCTTTATCTAGGCTCACCAGTAACAGGTCCTCAAAGCACAGCTCTTTGTGGAGCAGGCAGCTTTGGACCCCGTCCCCAGGGTTTATTAGGGTCCTCCACAGCTTTACTGCCACAGAGTCCTTTTGGCACAACTTCCTAATGGGTCAAAACACTAGGAGGTCACCACAAGAATTCTATTGCATAAAAAATGGGAGAGCTGTTTTTCTTTTATTGATTCCAGGGCACATTTTCTAGAGCAGTTGGGATAGATGTTACCTCTACATATACGTACACAGGCTGTTCTGAATATCCCCACTCAGGATTCTGATTTTGCAGACCCTTTTCACTGATCTCCCTATGGGGAATATTTTAAAAAACCAAACATGCTACACCACTGAAGTTATAGCTGGCTTTAGGTCATAGAAAGAAACCTTAAAAAACTTAATATAGCCAAAATTATCTTTGGTTACTTCCTCTGCTTCCTTTTATTTCTTTTTCTTTTTTTTTTTTTTTTTTTTTGAGACAGTCTTGCTACATAGTCCAGGCTGGCCTTGAATTTGTGGCAGTCTTCCCTCCTCAGCCTCCCGAGTGCCAGCGTAACAGATGGGTAACCATGCCCAGCACTTCCTTCCTCCCATTAGTACAAAGGCAGAGCTCAAGTCCAGGAGATGTGTGGTGGAAAGGAGCCAGTGTTCACAGAATGCAGCAGGTCGATGACTTGGGTGGTGGGCCGCCATTGCAGACTTCCATGCCCACTGCAAGAGAAGATGGACAATGAGCAAGCGCTTTCCTGCCCTGTACTCCATGTGCCCTCTACTGGCCCCTACAGGACAGCGGCCACAGTGTGGTCCTTACCCAGCCCAAACCGATTAGCTGGCCTGAGCCTGTCTTAGAACTTTAGCCCCTTTTGACACTGTGCCCTGACTACTGTCAGTCCCAGCCTCAGGCAACCAGGTGGCTGCATTGTTCATACTGGCCTCCTGCCTGCTGGTGGGGAGTGCAGGACACTGCAGGAGAACGGAGTTGGGATGAGAGGACAGGCAGGAGCAAGGAGGTGCCGCTGGGACTCTGGGAGTGCACTGACTCCAGCTGAGTCACATCCCCTGATGGGTGAAAATGTGAACATGTTCTGGACAATGTGGTGTTTGCTTATTTTTCTTTTTTTGTGGGGAGGAGGTTACTTTTTTTTTTTTTTTTTTTTTTGAGACATAGTTCAGGCTGGTCCTGAACTCAATGTGTAACCCAGGTTGGCTATGAGCTCACAGCAATCCTCCTGGCTCATCCTTCTGAGTACTGAGTTTATAGGTGTGTGTTATCACACGTGGCCTTGGTTACTGTTTTTTGTTTTAGGCTTGCAGTTTTGTTTCTTAAGGTGACATGGGGACATGATTTTCCAAAAACATTTAGATTCAGTTTGAAGGCAGAATGCAAGAAGTGTTTGGGGAGCTTGACTCCTCAGAGAGCAAGAGAAACCCTTCCATCCTGGGTCTCAGCTGTGGAAGGAAGCCTCTTGCACACAGTATCACTGCCTTTCTCTAGGTCTGACTGCTGCTTGGCTGCTGCCACTTTGCTGGGCTTGTTGGTCCGGGGAATCAAACTCGACTTTGTGTTTGCCAGGAAGGACCTGTGCTGCTGAGCTAGATCCTTGGCCCTCTTTGCTGTGTTGATTAACCAAGTGCCTGCCCCAGGCTGCAGCAAGGGGCCCAGACCTTTCTTGGCTGCTCTGTCGTCATCCTTCTTCTCTTCCTCCAGAACCTTCACTTTCGCCTCATGTTCGTCAGCCAGTGCCTTCCACTCCTTCCTGTTGTTCTGCAGGCGGTCGAACATGGGCAGGATCTCCTCATGAAAACGGGAGAACTCCTGGAGGAAGTTGGGAAACCAGGCCTGTCTGCTAGTTCCTGGAAGACTTGATGGTGGCCTCCATCCACCCCTTCTGGCCTCTCAACCATGGAAGACCCTAAGATGTACCTTTCCCAGAAAAGCCCTAAAAAGGGGGAGCTTGGGGCATGGCTTGTGTGTGCCCGTGATGCAGACAGGGCAGAAAATGTCCAGGTCTGGAGGGCTAGGCTACCACAGATGGACTCCTGTTAGAAGTGGGTGCAGGCAGTGGCAGGGCCCACTCACTCTCACATGTTCACACACAATCACATGTGTGTACATGTTTATAGTGGTATATACTACCGATGCACAGACCATTTGTGCAGCACTACATGTGGACATACACTCATCACATCCATCACATGCACAGATCGCAAACCATATGCACATCACATATGCATACCCATCTATCACCCAATACAATATCATGTTTGCACACATTGCATTACATGCATCCCACAAATCATCACATGCATGGGTCACACAGTATGGGTGGAGCGAAGAGGGCAGCAGCAGGCATGTATGTGGGCCATGACCTGTGGGCACGAGGAGAGAATGTCCTTGCCCCTGCCTGAAGCTGCTCAGCATAGACCTCACTTAGAACTGGATAGCATTTTCTTAAGACTGTGGGTGAGTCACCATCACCAAGAACAACAGAGAGGTCTGGCTGCCATGAGCCAAGGTGTCCTGTGGGGCCTTACACTGGGCTCTGCAGCCAGGTCCCTACCATGAGTCCCCCCTACTTCCTGCCAGGTGTCCTTGGGGACAGACAACAGAACTTGGTTCAGTAATTGGGTCCCTGGCCAGCTGCAGGTCCTGTGGGGTAGGCACTCCAGCAGGCATGGGGCAAACCAGGCCTGCTCTTGTCCTCTGGGTGATCTTAGGCAAGGTACACCTTGGCCCTATGTGGGCTGGGCCATGGGTGAGGTGACTGGGAGGTGTTTGAGAAAACTTCTGCCTGAAAAATACCTGTGTGGAAAGCACTGGGGGTGAGGGCAAGTGTACAAAGCAGGCTGGGTAGTCCTGGTATCTCCCGACCTGCTCTGTTAGTGTGGTGTGTGACCCCACAGTGTCCCTCCTCTTGTGAGGATACTGTTGGCTCCCCGACCCCATCCCCAGCTACTGCCAGGTCCACATGGATGCCAAGTGCCCACCTTGTACACAAATGTGCACACGAAGTCGATGAAGCCAACCTGCAGCTTGGGGAGCTCAGCTGCCTTGTTCCGGTCCATCATGGGCTTGTGGAGAAACGGGGAGGTAGATATCATAGGACCTAGGTCCCCAACCCAGCCATACTGCCCTCCCACCTGCAAGGGTTTGTCCCAGGGTTTGTGGACTGGCAACAGCCTGGCTGCTTCAGCCTCCTTAACTTGAGCTTTGGTGCAGGGATCACCTGGACCTCTTTCACAGCACCACCCAGAAACCTAGCTACCATCAATCCTGGGTCAGGTGCCCTGGAAGCAGCACTCACAATAGGCTGCTGATCGAGGACCGTCCTCTCCAAATCACCTTGTTCCCAGAACTCAGCAGCCACCAGAAGTGCGACCTGGGGCACACAAGGGTGTCAGGAATGGTACTTGGCAGGCACATGGTACCTCTATGTGGCACCTCTGCCCCCATGAGATCCCAGATGCCAACACGGTGTGCTCTGGGCTGGGCACTTAGTTGGGGACATCTGGTGGTCCTGACCTTGCTCTGTACTTCCCAGGGCTTGGTGATGGCAGACAGGTCACAGGCAGTCATCATCATGGCCCTGTAGACAGAGCAGAGCCACAATTCTCACAGTGGGGTGAGGGTCAGGGCCATTCCTGTGTGGCTGTATTCACCAAAACCCATGACCCGAGGCCCTCAAATCCTCTCTCCCTGAAACAGAGAAGTAAGGATGGGGCAGTCCTCAGGTGTCCCAAACTGGTTAGGAGCCATTCCTGAAGGGCACACATGCTCACATGACGATCTCCTTCCGTGTGGTCTCCAGGGACAGGTACTCCACCCAGCTCTTCTTGTCTTCATAGTTCTTGGACTCATCCACAATCTTCTGGAACATTGTTCTCTTCCTGGGCATAGGTAGGGGTCGATGGT